CTAAGCCTTAACTTCTTTAGTTTTTAACTTAAGTTTTTTGGATGGCAGTCCTCCGTGAATCATCACTTTTGAGGTAGCTGAATCGTTTGCAGAATTGACTTAGGTTACTATGAGGCTAAAAATAGGGTTTAGAAGACTATCAGCAAGGTAGTATTAGAAAGGCTTGCACATTCGATGAAAGATGGTGGATTCTGACAAGTTTACCTGACAAGATAGAGAAGTGTGAACAGATTGGGTATATTAGGTTCGCCAGTTATTGCTAAAGAAGAGATGTTGTTATGGATAAACCAAAGTGGCTCTCACTAAAGTAACTATGACTTGCCGTCTCTAATTTATAACTCTCGATTTTGGTCTAATTGCTGGTAGTATGCAATCTACAATAAGAAGGTGCATTATGTAGTCTTCAGCTCATCAGCAGATATGGTTTGTAACATGCTTCTTACAGTTATAATCTGCAGTATTAATCTAAAGCTATGATGTGCATATTGAAACTTTAGTACCCAATCATCAACCTGCTATATGTCATGAAGCTATGACTTGTAATCATCATTCTGCAGGTATAATGATAGCTGCGAAGTATGGTTTAGAAAATACTGTCTATAGCTAAACCTTCCAGTATTTCATTTGCACCTATAGTATACAATATGTATTTATATGTACTCTGCAGCTATATTTCACAGTATGTTATCTATAGATATAAACAGCAGTATTCAGTCTGCAGCTATAGTTTCCAGCTATATTTATACATATATGAGCATACAGTTTCAGTATGCGGTCTACAGGTGTGATTTGTGTATGATAGGCTGAAGTTATTACATGCAATACGTCGTGTGTAGGTTGTGCAACTATAATATGCAACCTAAAGCTAGAGAGTTTGTAGTCTGCTGTTATAGTTTGGAGTATGCAGTTTGCAACTCTAATCTGCAATCATCAATGGCGCTATGGTTTGCAGTCTGCAATAATAGTTTGTTGCCTACTCCCTGCAATTACAATTTAAAGGTATAGGTTAACTCTTTTATCCTGCTAAAACACAACCTTTGTTTGCGTTACCGGCAATATTTTTATATTTGTACATTCTATGTTTACAATAAATAATATTTTTCAATTTTTTTTATTGGTGATATGAGGCACAACGCTCTGAGTCATTTCCGTTGTTATACAATAAAATAAATAAATAAAATAGAAAATGGAAATTCGTTTCATTTCCTGTCCATAACGATATTATTTTTAAATTGTACCTATACCACTGATAAACACCAATTTTGATAACTTCAATCTGATACTTACTCACTAATTTTGAAATTTGAATCCAAATTTTTAAAATTATCTCTGTATTTTAAAATCTGTTGGTCTAATACGATGTATTAATCTCTTAAAACTTTTTCAAGAGGAAAATGAGAAATGAAATCCTAAAGATCACTAAGAGTTGTTGAAAAATTTTGATACAATACTAGATTTATATATTTTCAAGGTTTCTTCATGGAAATATCAATACAGTCAATACGTTCATATACTTAGGCTCATTAATCTCTAACGAAGGAGACTCCAGCAGAGAAATCATGCAATTTCTTTAACAACGAAAAAGATGCTGGTCCTCTCTATCTTTTTATATGCATCAGAGTACCAGTCGTTAAAAACAACGGTCAAAAAGAAAATCGATGCAGTGGAGATGTTTTTGCTGGCGTAGAGTGCTAAGAATTCCGTGGACACAGACAAATCAAAGGGATGAATGCAGAAATGCTCTAGAGAGCAACTCATGAAAGCACGATCCTCGAATAGGAGATTCCGGCTGAGTATAGTATATATATAATAAGGCAAATTGAGGTTGATCTGAATACCTATGTAGCTAAAAATATCTTGAACTTGTAACGAAATCAATTTTCTGCTTAGCGTAGTTGCTAATAAAGCCCTATATTATCCTAATCACAAACATCAAAGGACAAAGTCTGGCACGCACATTCAAGGTGGCTGGGAATAGGGATGAATGCAGAAATGCTCATGAAAGCACGATCCTCGAATAGGAGATTCCGGCTGAGAAAAAGAAGAAAGGGGGATACTGTTCTAGCTTCGCGGTCTGCTAAATACCCACAATTGCCATTCAGTTGCGTTATAGGCTAGAGTTAGCAACATCACCACTAAACCTTATTTAGGCAATAGAAAATCTTCGAAATACTACGTGGCTACGTTAACTCATGCTAAAATTTCAGATTTTTTTTGAGTAATCCAGATAATGTGCTAAATCTTTTAATTTAAGCTAATCAAATCAAAAGCTATGTAAAGCTGTTAAAAAGCTATGTATATAATAAGACAAATTGAGGTTGATCTGAATACCTATGTAACTAAAAATAACTTGAACTTGTAACAAAATAAATTTTCTGCTTAGTGTAGTTGCTAATAAAGCCCTATATTATCTTAATCACAAACTTCAAAGGACAAAGTCTGGCACGCACATTCAAGGTGGCTGAGAATAGGGATGAATGCAGAAATGCTCATGAAAGCACGATCCTCGAATAGGAGATTCCGGCTGAGAAAAATAAGAGAGGGGGATACTATTCTAGCTTCGCGGTCTGCTAAATACCCACAATTGCCATTCAGTTGCGTTATAGGCTAGAGTTAGCAACATCACCACTAAATCTTATTTAGGCAATAGAAAATCTTCGAAATACTACGTGGCTACGTTAACTCATGCTAAAATTTTAGAGTTTTTTGGGTAATCCAGATAATGTGCCAAATCTTTTAATTTAAGCTAATCAAATCAAAAGCTATGTAAAGCTGTTAAAAAGCTATGTATATAACAAGGCAAATTAAGGTTGATCTGAATGTAACTAAAAATAACTTGAACTTGTCACAAAATAAATTTTCTGCTTAGTGTAGTTGCTAATAAAGCCTTATATTATCCTAATCGTCGTAATCTTTATTGCTATAGCAAAAACTGAAACATTTAACGAATTTAATTTGCCTATGATGCCATTCGGAAGTGATTTAGTTGGTTGCTTTATAATATTGCGAACAATGTTCTATGTTCTATCCTTAAGTGAGTTTTGAAAAAGATAAAATAAAACGTCTTTGTTGGAATTTAAGTCTTACCTTTGTAACAGAAGAGCTGAAAAGGCAAAGAATTTCGTCGTCTACGTTTGATATGGAAATGGCGCATGAATGTTTTACAGGTCCCTTTGTACACCCGTTTGAATTCACGATAAATATGATAAATTTCAGTTATGTCAGCGAGCATCCCGACCGAAATAGATGCAGAGAGAGTTGGTGGTGGTTGCTGGTAGAGGAGGCGGGGAGGATGATAAATTGTCGTCCAGCGTATTACCCCCGAATTTATACTCGTACTTAATTTACCGAGTTACGCGAAATTTTTACGCGAGCGATCGTTAAAATTCGAGTTTACGACCGGGTGACATTTGCTAACGAAATTTTCAGCGAAAGGAGATTTTACATAAAAAATTTCATCCACGTTCTGAGAGTCCGTTTAGTATTTTTTTGCTTCTCTTCATCGTGGATAGACTCTCGGATAAATCCGTGAAAGGAACACTTGTCCGTGGATTAAGGGCAGCAGCTCCTCCGTCCAAGTAATCACTTTGTCAAAGTTTTAAAGGAGCCTAGATCCGGGCTAAAGGTATCTGGCCTTCCATCCCTTTTCGCCTTTCGTTCAAAGTTTACTTGTTTTCCGTTCCTGCCGTTCACGTTTCTCTCTGTGTATCGAACGAACCTTTCGAAAACACGGCTCACATAAATAAGAAACTTTTAAATTTTGTTATTCAAGGGATGCGCCAACACATCGATCATTTTCACCTAACTCACAATCTCGAGAGAGCAAAGAGAACGTTTTTTTTTTTTATTGACGATGAAATTAATTGAACGGAATCTTAAATACTAAGATTATAAAAGGTACTTTAACTTTAGAAAGATAGGTAGGTCTTCGAAATCCAAATAAATTAAATTTAATTGAAAGATTTTCAATTATAAAATTCCGAGTCCGCGAAAACATTTAGACTGTCCCAGTAGAACTTTTTTCCCTTGCAGGAGTAAGTAATTTAACTTACCCCCGGAGAGAACGATTTCATAAAAGGCGGAAAGATTCCAATGGCTACAAGAAGAGCGTGCGGAAATAGCGAAGAGAATTCCGACCATTTCGGAGGTATAAAATTAAAAAAGTCGTCAGACGTCGTTTTATTAAAAAGCTCAGTAGAAACATCTCATCTTATTATATTCTTCATTAAGGAACTTTGCCTTTAGTCATTCAAACTAAAAGAAATCTCTCCTATATTGTTCATTATTATTTAAAACATTACAATGTTTGCGATTGTTAATTACCAAATATGATTTTCAATTAATGTAAATATGAGTACGAAATGTAATAATAAATTGAAGTCACATATTGACAGTCTATATTATAAAACTGATTAAATTGTTTAAAGCAGTTAATTACACATGAACTAATTACATTTATGTCAGTCAATATTCTTTTATTAAATAATTATATAATATATTTGTTCACTAATGATTTAATTAAAAATATCATCTAGGATAAGTTTAAATCAAAGTTCTTAACAAAGTCTTCGACGTTTTATAATTATAAATCTTGAATCTAAGAACTTTGACAAAATGAGAATTTACTCCAAGATGAACTGGCTCAAAGTAGCTCAAAATTACTTGATTTGTTACTTGAAAAGTGCAGACTGCCTTGTAGATGAGATAAGATCTGATCTATTTATCAAATTGAGATAAACGGAAATAATATCTTAAAAACGATGTCAGAAAATCTATGGTAACACAAAACTATAAAACCTCCTAGAAAATATGTCTTTATTACTCCCGAGCGCAAATTCATAAACCCCAAGTTATTATCCCTTTGCTGATCATAAATCTATATACAATTTTCCCTTCAGGATACTCAAGAGAACCCTCAATCCCAAAACTTTAAATTTCTGGTATTCCCGTAGAAGCTAAATAACCCATAAACCAAATTAAAAAAAAAACCCATAACTCACCAATAACTTTAGACCATTGAGCTGTTGGTCTCCAATCTGGAAAATGTTTCGGAAATTTGTCCCTGGACCAAAACGTATGCAAGATGACTTTATAAACGGTAAGCTTATCTGGTTGACATCCCTCAGAAAGAACTTCAGAACCGCCGTCTGATGACAACAATTTCTTGCCATTCCTTGTGGCATTGTCGACGTCAAGAGCTGAAGAAAACGTTGTCGTAGCGAAGCACAGCAGCAGGACGCACAAACACGTCTTGAAAAGAGGCCGGTGGTGCCGAAACCGGTCCATTTCGTCGACTGAAACTGGTGCGCGGCCCTTCGAATACTGACTACACTCGGCAGTTTTTGCCCGCGAGAACCGACGTCGTCGTCGTCGTCGTTGGCGTCGTGGTGGTGGTCGTGTTGTTACGCGTTCTGCACTTTCGGCGCCGCGCGTCGTGCGCATCGCCCGCAAGAGACGAGAGGCGTCGCGACGGACATCCTTTACACCAACCCAACCCAACGCGCCTATGTTGTAGGTGGGTAGATATATTAGGGGTGTACGGGGAGATCTAGGCGCAATCATGTCGAAGGGACTAATTAATCCCGTTAGTTGAATAGGATAAAAAAGTATTTCAAGTTTTTTTAGAGACAGTTAATTAAATTTGAAATATATAGAAATATTGAGATTTGTTTTCAATTGTCTAATGCCTCTTTGTTCTCGTTTGATGCAAACATATCACATGTTTCCGTAAATACAGGATTTTATACATATAACATGCTTTTAAAAACATAATTAGGAAAATAATTGTGGTTGTTACGTCAACATTTCAAGAACATATCAACACGAGATACTTTCCAGAAGATTCAAAGATTTTGGAATATGGGAAAAGCTGATAGGTGTGAATCAAAATGGTTCTAATTGATAAAGAACCTCCCTAAGATACTTAACGAAGGTGAAAGAACAAAAAAAGTTAATTCAGATATTTTTTAAAGTGTTTCAAGGTTGTCAGAAAATGAAAAACGCTTCTAGGTGTATGTCAAAATGGAAATAATCGATTGGAAGTCTGAGAGCCTTACTTTACAATGTTCTAACTCTGCTCGTTTTTGTTACTAAAGTCTCCACCAAAAGTCCAAAGAATTGATTTGTGCGTTTTCTGGTAATGTCCGACGTAGAGCATGCCACGATTTTGAGACTGCGCCAGGCAGCTGTTATGAAGAAACATCGAAGGTGGATCATTTCGCTATTTAAAACCAAATATAATCAGAGGTCTAATACTGAGGTCTATCTTAATAAAGAAAGAAAATATGGCCTCTTTTAAAATTTAAGCTTTTAGATTTGATCCCAAAATTTCTAAAAGGTTCTACATTTAGTCAGAAAGGTTACTACTTATTTTGTAATACCTAGCTACAGGAGATTCTTACACTAACTTGATGTGGACTTTTAAAATATCAAAACAACTTATCTCTCGTGAATCTGAACTGTGTTGCGCTCTAGCCGAAATGCTGCGAGAATACGTAAAGTTAAAAATTGTAATTGTTATAATTATTTATTGTAGAAAATCTTAGAAAATACAAAAATTAAAAATTTTCGGAATAATTATCATTAACCTAAGTAGTTATTTATGTAACAATTAATTTAATGATTATTATTTGATGTGTATTGTTGAATTAAGGTTGAAGATGACTTGAGTGGAATTTGAAATAGCGATGGTTTGCGTGGAACTTTTTTCTGGTTGATGTTAATAGAACTGGAATTTGGAAAAGGTGATTGCAATGGAGTTTTATTTGAATGATGATCTAAATTAGTGGTATCCGGGCATTTTTTAAATCCGGCCGGATACCGGATAGTTACCAAATATCCGACTATGGCTCTTTTTAATGCAAAAAGCCGTTTTGAAAAATCACTATCAGTTCTTGAGAAAAAAATTTTTGAAATGATCGACAATTTTTTCGTAATTTGCAAATTTTCGCCGATTAAGTTTTAAAAATTCGTATAAAATCCAGTTCTTGGAATAAGAGTATGAAAATTTCCCAAAGTGTTAATAAAAGTGTCCTCTTTCCAATGAACCAACCCGTTCTGAAAAATAACTTTTAGTTCTTGAGAAAATAATGTTTGAAGTTTTGATAAAATTTTCGATGTTGCAATTTTCATCGATAACTTTCAAAATTCGATATAAAATTAATTTCGTAAAGGATCCTTGTGGAAATATCACCAATTATTAATTAAAGTATCCTCTTTTTAATGCAACTAGCCGTTTTGAAAAATCGCTTTGAGTTCTTGAGAAATAAATTTTTGAAATGATCGACAATTTTTTCGAATCTTGCAATTTTCGCCGATTAAGTTTTCAAAATTCGTATAAAATCCAGTTCTTGGAATATGAGTATGAAAATTTCCCAAAATGTTAATAACAGTGTCCTCTTTCCAATGAACCAACTCGTTTTGAAAAATAGCTTTAGTTTTTGAGAAAACAATATTTGAAGTAGGATAAAATTTTCGATGTTGCAATTTTCATCGATAACTTGCAAAATTCGCTATAAAATTAATTTCTTGAAGAATCCTTGTGGAAATATCACCAATTATTAATTAAAGTATCTTCTTTTTAATGCAAAAAGCCGTTTTGGAAAATCACTTTTTGTTCTTGAGAAATAAAGTTTTGAAATAACCGACAATTTTTCGAATTTTGCTATTTACGCCGATTAATGTTTAATAATTCGTACAAAATCGATTTCTTGGAATATGAGTATGAAAATATCCCAAAGTGTTAATAAAAGTGTCCTCTTTCCAATGAAATAACCTGTTTTGAAAAATAACTTTTAGTTTATGAGAAAACAATATTTGAAGTTTTGATAAAATTTTCGATGTTGCAATTTTCATGGATAACTTGCAAAATTCGCTATTAAATTAATTTCTTGAAAAATCCTTGTGGAAATATCACCAATTATTAATTAAAGTATCCTCTTTTTAATCCTCAAAGCCGTTTTGAAAAATCACTTTTAGTTCTTGAGAAATAAATTTTTGAAAAAATCGACAATTTTTTCGAATTTTGCAATTTTCGCCGATTAAACTTTAATAATTCGTATAAAATCGATTTCTTGGAATAGGAGTATGAAAATTTCTCAAAATGTCAATAAAAGTGTCCTCTTTCCAATGAAATAACTCGTTTTGTTAGTTAAAGTTAAACTTTGTTAGTTAAATCAGCATGAAAAAAGTTCATTTTGTTGATATCCGGCCGAAGGGGATACCGAATATCCGGTATCCGACTTTTCGCAAAGTTACTATCCGTTCCATCACTAATCTAACTGAATTGAAGAACAAAGAGAAGATGAGCGATATAGCTTGATGTAATTAAATGTTGGACTACATTTCTTCTTTGTGCATTATAATGTCTACATTTTGCTGTAACGTGATCTCCAAAGATTTCACTTTCATCGCGTTGTAAACGCTTTTTTGCACTTTTTAATATAGCATATGCTTGATTTGCTCTGAAATTGTGTCTGTTGCTTTTTACAGTTTGAACATCAGATTTTACCCGTTTGCGGAATGATCTAGATGCTTCGTTATCACCTATAGCACTATTCGTATCTTCATTAATTAGTATTTCTGGTTCTTCTAGTTATACGGTCTAATATTTCGATATAGATAAACATCACAACACAATAATTCTTAAAGTGTTGGAAAATAATGGAACAAAGTTCGTGGAAATAGTTTGTGATTAGTTTTATGCTCCAATAAATTTACCAAGCCCAAAATTATCAAAAATCTATCATAACACAATGGGGACCAAACCTATCATAATATATGTTGTTTTTTTTAATTATAGATGCATGCAACAGCAGAAGATGGCTATACATTTCTAAGAGAATTGAGCACTAATAGAACTTTCCACATTGTCTGGGTGCAACCAAAAAATAGAATAATAAATTCATGAACATCTTATAAAACCTTATCCAGTAGAACAGAAGAAAAGAACAAAAAACGAATCTTTAATGTATGACACGTCGTATCATAGAAAATGCTTTTGGTATAATTTCCGCCGTTTTTAGAGTTCTAAGAAAGCCAATGTTGGCATCAGAGAAAAATACAAATCGTGTTAGAGTATTTCCAGGGATCCAATTTTTTCTAAACATCGTTGAAGTGCATTTTAATTCTTCTGGAATTAAATTCCAAGCATCGTTTGGTGTATGTGTATGCCCCATTAGATGTTTATCACATTTTGGAAAATTCATGACAAAGGAAATTCGGTACTTCACATATTTAGCTGCATCATTGTTATTCTCAAGCTTTCATGTCCAAATTTCAGTGTCGGTACTATATTGTTGAATATTACTACATTCATAGAACTAACATACATGCAAAGAGCAAAATTATTGCATTTTTGAAAAGACATATACTACAGAGAAAGATGCGGCAGATTATTTCCCGAGTTGTGCAGTTAGGTTGCAGCAGTATGCCTTCGGGATTATCCATCGTAAGAAGAGCACATGATTGCGGATGCTATATGATAATGACTTCAAGATAGGTGTTGAAAAAAATGTTGAGGCGATTCGATTATCCGCCGAATCGATTGGTTAATAGTATGCAATAAAAAGTATAGTTGTATTTAGGTATTACATCTTATAATATAGATAACAAGCTATCTACAGGAAGTAGGATATAGGGAATTATATAGATTCAAAAGATTTTTATTTGGCAGTTGAAATAAGACATACATGTCTATTAATTAATTAATTAACAGTTGACGTTTTACCAAAAACTCATTGCGTCAATTTTGTTAAAAAATGTTACATGGCGCTGCGGTTTGAGGTAAATAAATATACGAAACTCGGAAAAATACATGGAAATATCGCAGCGTTAGCTTGTTAGATAATTGATAAATGTAGACGTTAACGAATATTTGTTTACGATGTAAATATATTACAAGGCGAATTAGCCACAAGAGAAAACGTTCATTTTATAGTAAACCAGTAAAGTGACATAGTGAGCCATACAGCATTAATTACGAAAGTTTACAGAATATGTTTCAAATCTCTTTGGTGTTAAAGTTCGATCATAATCTAACAGAAATAAACACCAAAAAATATTTACACTAATAAATACAAATAATGGAGTTCTATATATCGTCGAAAATATAATGATGAAAGAGTAACAATAATTCAAGGATTGATTAATTACAAGGTCAAAACCAAGAATTAAAATTTAAACGGTTGTTAACACTCTATCATCATTAATTTCGGGAGATTGAAACTAATCCAAATTACTAAAATATATGGTGAGTCCATTAAACGAACGAGCTAAATAAAGATCGAATTCATTTTATTTCAACGTGAAAATTATAATAAAATGAAATCAATTGATCGAAAAATTATATAATAATATATTAGTTTTAAATTTATTCATTATTTATTTAATTAAATAGATTAAATTTTGACTTTTTTATCTATATCTCTACGAAACACCATAAATAATAGTACTTTAACTAACAAATTGAATAAAAAAACTTCAATTTCAGCATTTGGATCAGGATGAACGTGCTATATAAAAAACCGGTAGTCAATTGATTTATTAGCTTATGAAAACCGACCGCCGAATAGCCAAAGATATATTGCATAATCAGCAATTTAAATACAGCAAAAACTATGCATAGAGCCACTCGAGAGAGGTCAGAATGGGATATTACATTCCATTAGAATGGAAATTACTTCATAAAATACCAGACGTTGACTAATACCTTCATTTCAAGTATTCTTAAATATTTTTATTGCCTACCTTAGAAAAAAAATGTTTTTTTAATCAATAAAACAAGTAAGTTTTTTAAATTAACAAATAAATCTTTACCACTTTAAAGTCTCTGTATTAGTTGCAACAAATTAATTAAAATACATTACTTTATTAAGGTATTTTTCTTTAGTTTAATAATAAATAGAATTTAGAAGAGATTATAGAAAGATAACTAGAGGAGTTTACAATATATTTAAGTTACTCCCTCAAATCCAATGTATACCTGGATGTCTTTAGAATACATAGGTATTAATTCTATAGTGCTTAAGGTTGGAGCTAAATTATCTATACAAATCAGATATAATATTGGCCCTAAGTTAAACTCTTGAAGTAACAAAGCTTCTCTCTGATAAGGTGTACTAGAATCTAACAAGCTGAGAGTGATGTAGGCAGTAAGTTACTTAGTTATTGAAACACTGAAAACTGTATTAAATAATGGAAAGCATCAGACGCCTTAAAATTATCGATAAGGATAAGGGATAAGAATACTTCAGATTGTGGGGTTCCAAGAAGCACCAAAATACCGGTTTGAAGACGACGTACTCAATAGAATTGCGGAGAATTATAACTACCCAGAGAGTTATGCATGAACTGCTGCTTTACCCAGAGCACGTGCAGTGAGTGCAGGGTCTTAGTGAAGTTGATTTTCGACCGCAAATGCTATTTTATAACTGGTTTCTACAGCACTGTATGATCCAATCAGTTGTGGTTTTTAACGATGAGGTTGCAGAACATCTTCACACGATTAGACAATCAAGACATCAACCAACTTTTCATGTAACTTCTGGGCTGGTATTGTTGGCAATCATTTAATAGAAGCAATGTTTTCATCTCACAGATTTTTTTTGGCAAATGATCAAACTACCATACTTGATAACGTTTTATTAGAAACACGCCGTGACTTATTGTTCATCCATGACCTGACATGTGGTCTGCCACATTTAAGCTTTATTGCTAGGGAGTACTTAAATAACACTTTTTCGAATCGTTAGATTGGCACAGGTGGGCTAATTGCCCAATTACCTAACACAATTTGTGTACTCTTGAGAAGTACACACAAGAACTGCTCAACCGAATTAGTGCCAAAGAATTACTGCCAAAGGAGGACATTCTAAGCACTTACTTGTTGGCAAAGTTTGACCAATAAGTACTTTTGTTACTACCAATTATCTACTCTAGATATACATTCATAAGAAATGTTTCACAAGAACTAAATTTTCATACGTTTTTATCCATTGTAACTTCCTACTTGTAGGCAACTAAAAATACAGATATTGAGAAAATTAAATAAAACATTATAATAACATTGTATATTAAAAATTGTAATAAATAAAACAATAAATTATTATTTACACTAAAAATAAATTAATAACTAATAAGGAAATTTATCATTAATATCTCAAAGCAGGTAAGTTATCTACATTAAACCCAAGTCGTTTATACAAATTAATTAATTCCATTTTCTCTGCGAAATTATTTGTTTTACTTAATCCTTCACTGACACGATCAGCCCATCCTGTTGTTGAATGATCAACGTGATATTGCCCATCTTCTTTATTGTGAATGTGAAAATGAACGTTTTGAGGCTGTTTGTATTCTTGCTGATGGTTATTTTGTTTAAAGAGAGCCCCTAATTTTGCAAATAATCCTCCCACGTTTAACATTAAAATCGCTAAACCAATCCCAACACCTTTTAAAGTGAATAAAGTAAGAAATTTCATTGTGGTTATTATCACTCCTAACAGGAAAATGACTAATGGCATTGCAAAACGAAGTTTTTTTCCAATACCTAGACATCGTCCTTAAAAAAAATAAGAAAAATCATGAAGGTTATTTTAAATGTTTTGTAAAAACTTACCTATGAATGTTTCCTCATGTTGTGATTGATCTTTAACCCAATTAAACAAATTTAGAATTTTTCTCGATATAAATTTTGTAGAAATATTTTCTGTTGAGGTAGAGTTGGTAAAATCTGATTGATTTGTTGCGGAGGTGATTTGAAAAATTATCGCAAAAAGAATAAAATTGAAATAAACGATGTTTCCCATCTCGATTGTCTCCTCGTACTTAGCATTTCTTCTTATGATCTAAAGTTAAATACACAAATGGTAATAAATTTTGATATGGTTAGGTTTTCTTTTAATGCATTAAACTTTGTAATAAACATTAAACGTTTGTTCTTAATTAAACGATCAACACCATGTAATAATCTAACAGTAAATTAATCTTTCAATTAAATTTATAAAAAATTGAGAGTAAATTCTTGAGAAAATAACGGGACGTGGTACACATCGGGATAGAAATCGGATCCGGTTGTGTTACGGAAGAATAAAGAGGAAAGCGGATTTTCCCTAAAAGTCTTCGCGCCCATGAGCAATCGGTACGACGCGTAAAAGGCAAAATAAGTAAAAGTAAATATTGACGAAGGCAAAACAGTTAATGAGAAGTATAAATTTCGCGTTCTGGCAGATCTTGAACTAGGTCAGTGGATTTAACGGACACAATCTTAACATTCACATCATCGTGATAGAAATTTAAATTTAAATAACTAAAGATAAATAATAAAACGTTTTCAATATTTTTTTTAATAACTGTAAATTTTCATAGTCTAATTTAAAAATTAATTAAAATTTATAATTTTTATACAGTAACGGTTTATATAACAGCTTCTCTTAAAAAATTATTTATTTAAAAAAAATCGAACTTACAAAATTCAAATCAAAAGATGTTCTCCATATCTTTTAATTTTAACATTTATGTTTAAAGATGCACACCACTCTCTTGAACACTAATGAACAATTAAACAAAAAATCCCCAACTTGTTATTTAAGTAGTTGATGGAACGCTCGCGGAATAACGAAACGTGGTTTCAATAGAAGAGTGAAGAACTAAAAGAAGAAGGTTGGAAAGGAAGGTATCTCTCCACGCGGTATCATCAGGTTATAACTTTCTCCAATAAAGGCAGCGTTTTCTTTGAAGAGGTGGAAACGAGAACCTGATTCTTACGTAAAAATTGCATCTTTTTGTTGATAAAAAAACGCTTAAAAAGAAAATTTATCTCGGAGAAACCGAACGAAAAGGAGTGTTGAATTAATTAACCACAAATTCTTTTGCATATGTGTAATTCGATGCAGTTCTAAAACCATGACCTCAACTTTAAGTTATTTCTGGAGCAACAACTCAAAGTAAAGTGAACTGAATACTGAATGACTGAGTGATGATACCGTAAAGAGAGAGTTGATATTAACGGTAAAATTAAATTTGGGCAAATTGTTCTTACAATATTTTATGTGTTATTGAATTATTTTAAAACTTTCTAGCGGATGTACAGAGAAATATTTTTTTTAATGATCGCATTAAATTTAAAATTGGAAATAGAGTGTGAAAAAGAAATTGTTACAAACCTATAAACAATACCACAAAAGAAACGCTATTAATCGATTTATTAATAGAGACAATATCTATAACAATCACATAAAAAAAATTGTAGTTTAAAAAAGAATCAGAATTAACCTCAGTTAGGCTATGTCTTTCTTAAAAATCACAGACAAAGCCTAGGAGAGGCTATCTCTAATTTCTTTTTACCTTTTTTGTAATCCCAAATAAATCATAAAATTGATTCTACGATGTCATAATTATCAATTGTACTATATAACTACTATACTATATAAATTATACCCGACTGTAAAAGTAATAACATCCTTGACATTAAAAAAACACATGGTTCTTACGTAACGCCACACTTGGAATTAGTTTTCCTATGAAAAAATTAAATGGGATTAGAAACCATGAGAAGAGAGTTGATTCAAAGTGGAAATCGAACAAAAGTTTTATGTCCCAACGTGTGTGCGCAATTATCGACAATTAAGACTTTAAACGTGGTTATATTCCGTAATATAAAAAAAACTATTTTGCACAAGGACGGTATTTACAAAGTTCATAAAATCTTCATTTCCGCGAAAGAATCTATTTTAAAACGGTCACATTGAGAAATCGATTGTATTAAATCAATGGTATTTTTCTTGTTTGCTAATTTTAAAATTATCACAAACTCACAAATCGAATATTTATTTAGTTTTTTTTTAACATAAGGTCAAACGTTTAAAATGATTCATTAAGATGAGAGAATTGGTTCTCACTTTGAAGATGAACGCATTTTAATATGACTAAACGAGCCTAATGTTAAGCCAATTAAAATGACTGCATACAGTGTCACTCATGGTCAATCTGTGGCGCTGAGGGCAAAATACAGCTTTATAGACGTGATGTAAGATGATATACCAATTAAAAAGGAAAAGATTTTTATTGTATTTCTTTTTTAAATTGTAGTTGATTAAACTTTAAGAACTTGGTTGGGATTTTTAAAAAGATAATGTTATGTAACTATATTCTTCTCTAAAAACAAAATTGATTTAAATTAACAAATTTTAAAATTGTGTGGAGACTTTCTAAATCAAAAGAATCGAAGGACAAAGATAATAGTAAAGGCAATAATAAAACAGAACATCGAATTATAAAAAGCAAGAAGAATTGAATTGAAACAGAAATTATCTAAATTTGTAAAGCAAATTATTTAGCAATTTTGAACGATACAATGAAATAATTTAAATTTTTAAATTAATCTAAATTATGTATAAATCACTTTCACAATTTTATTAGAAATAAAACTAGAAACTTTACAATCTTTGAGATGAAACGTTTCATCAACTCCATGTCCACGAAATTAGCAATTTAAATGACGATTGGACCAATAAAGTAAATTACGAACGTAGTAGACTCGTATGTTGTATTACAGGAGCTAAAACAAATTTAACTAGCACATGATTGTATAGACTATGCTAAAATCTGTTAAAGCAAGGGTTTTCAATGTCGCGAAGTTGTTGAAGGTCACACGTTTCCATTAGAATTTCTATTTATCAACACAATAGCAATGTAATACTCAATGCTAATATCATGAAAATCACCATTGTGGATACCACCCAACAATAATTGCTGAAAAGTAACCTAAATGCTGAAAATAATCACAAGTCACTAACTTCTTATGTTTCTCGATTTATAGATAAGAAGAAATGATTGTTGGAAACACAAATTCACACGAATTTTATCCCATCAAACGCATACTACATTTAACTTCAAGAATTGGGTTCAAAATGTGGAGAATGACGAAGAAAAAGGAAAAATTAGCTCTTTTTGTTGTCCTAGTTCTGATTAAAAAGAATGCCCGAAGAACAACAAGGTCATCTACAATTACTGTATTTTTCCTTTCCTTCCTAATTAAATTATCAAGTTTTAATATTGTTAACATTCCATACTTTTAGATTCTTTAGCAAAGGAAATTGGACTGTGATTGGACATAGAAGATGTAGCTTATGCCTTACTATTATACTGTAGCGAATCATAACATTTCTATCAAAGCCAATGAATATTACAAGTCTGAACGAGATTTTAATATAACCTTCAAAGTAACACCACTATGCCACCCGAGTACCATATAGCAAGATACGTATATTCTAATATTCTTTCTATTGCAAGATGCTATCAGCGAGAGCTAGAGATATCCATGAAAACGTTGCAAGAGTACTAAAAACCGATAAATCATGGAAATCCAACTTGGCATAATAAACCAAATCTAGCAGATACTTAAAGAACTGTCAATCAGAACTCAGAATATGGATTGAAACACCGAGTAGACAGTTTTAAAATCATATAGTATTAAAGATGTGGAGAATTCTACACCAAGAAGTTCGAAAGCAAGCAAATAAAGCTACAAAAACATCAGTCTACTTAAGAGTGAAAGTAAGTAAGAGAGAAAATTTGAAAATGTAAGAACAAAGAAACAAAACAACAAAGAAAATAGTAACAGATAACTGATACTTCATGTAATCAAACTTCTAGCTACAGTTATCTTTCTTATATGTCATTTGCTTCTATATAGCTGAGTGATTTAGAAAACGACACAAATATTTTTATCATAATCGAGTACTCTCTCTATTCAATTTCCTTTTGTAAGGCTCTAAAATTTATTTTTGCCAACGAAATTACAGAAATAATTAAACAAGATACTGAAATAAATAGACGAGTTACACAACATATATCAAAAAGAGAACATCATAAAGTTTTGATTCTTCCAGAAAATTATTGGTGAGAAGTTATATAATAACATGATGGCAACGAAGCCTAATAAAGAGAAAAAATGAAGAAAAATAGTTAGAATATTAGTCTCTATATCAGACACTAACCAACAAATCCTGCTAACAGTGAATTTTTTTTAATTACCATAAATACTGTGAAATAGCTGTAATAAGCAAGGCAGTAATTTATGTTTGTCTACCTACCCATAGTATTACATAGCAGTACACAAAATTTTAATCCACTGGGCAGCTAAAAGTATAACCCCAAGAAACCAAAAGTAACTATTTTAAATTTATGCTGTAACATTTCCAGTAGTAGCGGAAAAAGTACCAATTTCATTGTTTTAAGCAAAATCTAGTAAATATCCAGAAAGGTGTTGCAGATGTTTAATATTTAATCAACTAATTGAATATAATTTCATATATTACTAATCATAGCAAAGTTGGCTTTACCAGAAAAAATAAAGTTAGAAAAGTACTCCCATAAAATATTTTCCGAAAAATGAATGATATGCTAAATATCATGTCTATCGTATTAGCTTTCCCATTAGGTATACCCGGCCTCTTTCCATTTTAGTATTTATTTTATAATATATTATATTAATAATTATAAGTGCATTAATTTGTTGGCATTTATTTGCATGGCTACATTCGAGTTGATTTTTTAGTGCTAAGTCGTCCAATTAATTGTTTGATCTATTATGTTTGAGTACAATTAATAGCAATTTTTAGATCAAAATTAAAATTTCCTTAAAACTACTGACTAGGAAAGCTTTGATATTAATATCTAGAACAAAATCAACCTAAACAATCAGAAAAAGAAGCTGAATCATCAGCGACGTACAATAACACTAAAGAGAACTTGTCAAAGATCAACGAAGTAGAAAAGTATACCTAACAACAAGACCCAGAAACAAAGAGATAAAATTCAAAAGCTTAAAGGAGAATCCATAAGCTTCACTGTCGGTATACGAAGAGACCTTGGTGGTTCACTGTGGAAAGCAACCAAGGAGATCAAGAAATCTCTGTGACCTCTGACCTCTGTGACCTCCTATTAGACATAACAATGAGGCCAGAGGCAATAAGCAAAATGTTTGCCTTCAAGACGCTGTTTGCTGAATCCAGACCAAATCAATCAAGAAATAATTAATATTGTAAACCAAAGATGAGAAAATATTAAGCCAGGTAGTCTTAAAGAAGATAAGAACTAATCTGGATTCAAAGAAAGCCCCAAGATTCGACCTCATCACAGGAGAAATCGAGGAGGTTATCGTGTTGAAAAAGCCAGAAAATCAACTTAACGATATTAAACCTTACGATCAATTTCACAATCACCAATCCCACAAAATTTCGATAAACTACTGCTCAAAAGACTGAGCCCAATAACAGCAAATAATAACCTAAACTCAGATTAACAATTTGGATTCAGGCAAAAGCACTCAACAGTAAACCAAGTGCATAAAAAACCATCACCATTGAACGAGCTTTGGACAAAAGTAACTCTGTTCGGCAATCTTATACACAAACTAAACAAAATGCTCAAAATAGTTGGATTTAAAAGAGAGAAAGCAGGAGTGTCTCAAGTCAGAGTACTGGGTTTTACCCTCTATCTCCTATACACTAGTGACATACCAAAATTGGAGGGAACCACGGTGGCTATGTTTGCAGATCACACAATTGCAGAACACATTGGATGAGCAGTTGTTCCCGGTAGCTATATCAACGTCGTTAGCTATCGTTAATATAACAAAAACTCCTCCTCACAGGATAGCTTAACCACCTAACTGACCTCCGGGTAAAAGTAGCTCAAAGAATCACCACACTTAGTGGTTATTATAGAACAGACTTATAAAGCCTAGCTGACTAGTTAACTATAATCGTGCAAAGACGAAGAAGAGACAATATTACTTGCAGTGGAGAAAGATCAGCAGTTATCTACAGGCAAAACTACAAACAGCAGTACTCGACTGAATCAAAAACTCGAGGATAAGTGAAACGAGAAATCCCTCCATGTTAACTTTATTTTGGCTCTGGACTCCAAACTTAAGCAGAAAGAGCATGTAAAGGAAAGAATGGAATTATCCCTAAGATACAGACAGCTCGAATTCGAAACTTTTTATCTCCAACAAACAACTCATTCTGAAATCAATGTGAAATCAACGGTATCCA